GCGTGCCAAAGACTGTATGGTAAAACATGGTGTCTGCGACCAAAACTGATGGCTTAGTCATACAAGACCGTAATAGTACCTATCATCACCTATGCTTCCTTGGCATGGTGGCCAAAGGTAACTCAGAAGAAGTCTAAGATGATCCTCAATAAGATTTATCGAACAGCCTGTCTAAGTGTAACGGGAGCAATGAGAACGTGCCCCACAGAAGCCATAGCAATGCATATTGGACTCACTCTATTACACATCACGGTTAAAAGGACTGCGACCAGTGCCGTACTAAGGCTTCCTTATCTATGTAGTCTTAAAGAGGGCAATCTGACAGGACACGCAAACATTCTAGATGAAGTCTGGAATTCTCCGTGCCTAAAGGTCTTTGATAAGATGAATAGAAAATTAACTTTCTCCAGGGAATTCGTAGTGGTCATCAGTGACCGATCAATAAAAGATGGCAGTGCAAGAGCAGGAGTTATGGGACCGAAATTCCGCAAAGCAATCGCAATGGGAAAACTGCTTCTATTTTTCAAACAGAGGTCTATGCCTTAGAGCTATGTGCGAGAGAATGCCTACGTAGCCAAGCAGCTACAAAATCTTTAGCAAAATCCTTATTCCAACCAAAGTTGGTCTGGATATGCTTTCAACTTCTCAATACCCTAGCATCGGGGAACTATGTTACTCTTATGTGGGTACCGGGACACGAAGGGCATGAGGGCAATGAAATAGCAGACTCTACTTTCATTGGTCCAGAGCCCTTCTGCGGGGTAACAAATAGATTCACAAATAACTTACTAGGTGAACGGGAGAAACAACATCTATTTGACTCAAATAGATGCCCAAACAGGCATGCGACAATGAAAAAATTCATTGATCCTGAACACATCAAAGTTGATGCTATCCTTGACCTTAGCAGAAACGTTATTAAAATCTACACTGAACTTCTTACAGGACACTGTAGATTTACTTACCACATGAAGATTATAGGTACGGTAGAAAATGCCTCCTGTCGACTCTGTAATGAGGAGAAGGAAACATCAGAACATAGACTCGACTATCATGGAAGCGGGATCTTAGTCCCAAATCAAATAGGTAAAATTAAGCCCACAGGAATTACAACATTCATCAATAGTCTAGAATTGTCTTAGGTGAATCTTTAGGCACACAATAGATCTTTTAGGTCGGGGTGCTTTCACAGCCTATTACTTAATAAAACGAATAATAATAATATTATGTTCTGCATCGTTCACTGACTGCTGCCCTCAAACCTGACTGCCGATATAGGCAACGCAAAAAGTTCATTCTATCTCGCTTCAACTACTCCGAACAGCTCCAATTGTTCCAAGCAAACCAATTGTCAGCAAATGCAGCACCCACTTTGAAAAGATCTTTCATATAGACAAATGTTCATGATCGGGTTCATAATAAAGCCGACACGTTCTTTTGAAATATTTGCAATATTTCATTGTTTTTTTGAATTATTTAACCTGTTATGACAAATTGTAAATGTTGTTCTTTTTTATGGTAGCTAAGACAATAACAAATAAAACTATGTATTTGAGTTTTTAAATGAATAATAAAAAGTAGACAAAGAACTTATATATTTGATGTGTTCATGTTGGTTGCTTTTGTTGTACACAACACTGTATATCTAATCAAAAAATTTAGCTCTTACACATTTTTGAGAAATCCTATGTCAAAAAAATCTAAAATGCATGATATATTTATAACGCATTGTCGTATCGATCTAAAATTAGGCTCATTCAATTAAAAATATTATTATTTTATGCCATTCTGATCTTTTCTACTTTAGGATACAAGAAAAAAGTTTTATTATGCCCCATACAGAATCACACGGAGCATGATTGACCTATAGTGCGCAAGTTAGTATCACGTTAGTAATGGTGATTCTTCGTCTGATCTCCAAGCTGATATCGTTGTTGTTTGTCATTGCGGTGCCAATGTAGATGAAATGCTTGACAGATTCGAAAGTATTGTTCCACCCGACCGGCGTACATTTCTGCGAGTATCCAGCATGTACCTCGTTTTGCTGTCATTCACCGCTAAGCCCATTCTTGCAGATTCCTTTTCGATAACTGCTTTTCGAAAAGCAGCTGTAACATCACACTTGCTACACCCAATGATGTCAATGCCGTCGGCGTAAGCAAGGAGCTAGACACATTTGTAAAATATTGTTACATTACGGAAAACATCTGCCCTGCGCATGATCACTTCCATAACGAAAAGGCCACATTTTAATCAAAAGGTTTGGAGAGACTCGATCCTACCTTGACGGAGCTACGGGTATGGCTCATTATCATTCTGCAGAGTCGTATTAACTTTGCAAGGATACCGAGCTCAGACATTGCGGCGTAAACGCGATCACTTACGTTATCGAAAGGTGGTGAGTGTCCATGTTACGTTCGTGGGCATTTTCCAGGATTCGTCGCAATGTGAATATCTGATCAATGGTGGAGCTACCAGATCGAAAGTCGCACTGATAAAGCCCAATCAGTGACTTGGCATCTGGCTTCAATCTTTCGCACAGTACAGTTGAAAGGACCTTGCACGCAACAGGTGTTAGAGTGATCCCGCGATACTTGGCGTAAATCGTAGGATCGCCTTTTTTCAAAACAGGACAAAGGGTACTGAGATTCCAATTGATGGGCATACTTGCCTCTAACCATACTCTGCAGATATGCTGATGCATCCACCCTATCAACATATCGCCGCCGGTCTTGAACAATTCTGCAGGTAGGATGTATAGCAACACGCACTTTGTTTTGACTAGGTGATGAAATTTCAACACTATCATTTTCAATTGGGAAATTGGGATGGATTTAAATTCAACCTTTGTTGTTTTCAATTCAACTCTTTGGTGAGTGATACCAACCAATTTTCATCTAATTAAATTATTTAAATATGGTTTTGCTCAGAGTACTATAATATTTAATGGCACTAAAAACAATTGAATTAAATGTTATTCAAATTTAGTTGGGAAGCTATTCGTGGCATAAAAGGGGTATACTTCCTTCCCATTTCCTTAGCATAGTACCACTTTAGTAATGAACGTGTGAACATCTTTTCATTTAATATTTTAATCAATTTTTAGTGTAATTTAAACAACTAAATCAGAGCACGAATATAATCCGACTTCAATGCAAATACGTTCGCATACAGTTCTAAATAACCTTTTGTAGCATTTAACATTACACATACAGTGAAATTCTTCATAACGGACAGTTCTTTTAACCGAAAAGCCATATTAACCGGACAAATTTCGTGGACACAGCCTTTTCATTAATTTTTTCATACAAATATCATTTTAAACCATACTACCTTTTGAACCATTTTGATCAAAAAATCTCTCATAAACAGACAAAATTCAAAAAAATACCGAACAAGTTTTTTAAAAATCTGCGGTTTTCCTTAATACAATTTCTATTTGTATTTTAATCACCAATAATTAATTAAATGTAATTTATAAATTACTACGGTCGAAATAGCCCAGAAAGAGGAGTTTTCTTTCACGTATTATCTGACAAAACACTCGCTCTTAAATCCAAAAAATACATCGACAGTAAATTTTCGAGGGACAGACTCACAATTTTGTTTAGTGCAAACATGGTTGAAGATATAGAGCTACTTTTAGTTATAACTAAAACAGCCCGTCCACGAGCAGCTCGATATCCTTAAACGATATCGCGGAACTGCAAATGAATTGGAAATCTAACAAAGAAAAGCTTGTATGACTCGAGAAGGAATGAATGAATGGCTGCAGCAGTTCAATAAGCAAATAAGAGCTCAGAATTCTTTTGTTTTCGAATAATACATCATCTCATCAATGGGAATTAAACTTAACTTATATAAATATTGTTTTTTGTTTCCAAACACAATGGCAGCAAGCTAACCCCTTGATCAAGGGATAATCTAAAATATTTAAATTTTTAATAGGATCTTACTTCTAAAACATTTGCTAAGTAAAATTAATGCTAAAAGGTCGGTCTTAAAACTGTCGAAATCTATTAATGTGATTGAAGCTGTTTATTTCCTCAAAGCATCTTGATATAAAATAGAAACAACAACAATGCAAAATTGCTTCCGTATAGCAGGTTTTTCAAAAAGGTATGAAAATCTTACCGTGTTTGATCTTGAAGATGACATTCCGCTAAATATCATGCTAAATATTAGGAAGGGACTCGATTTGGCAAATTATTCCGACGATTTTCTTCAGGTAAACAGAAATATCTGTGGAAATTTAATTTGAAGAACAAAGCGATATTATGGACATAAGTTCAAAAGAAGAATCTAATGAAGAAACAAGTGACCCAATAACATCGTACGATAAGGTGTGAACACTCAGGTGCATTCAAAATATCATTTGAGTGCAATTTACTCCTAATTTTTTGTGCTCCCTCCCATAAGCAGACATCTCCCATAATCGGACAAAAACACTGCGACGGTGAGTGTCCAGTTATGAAAAATTTCACTATATATACTTGCATATCAATTTGAGGATGATATATCTACAACACTGACATCGGGCGACAAAATAACAAACGTCTTTGCATTATGATGCAAAATATTGAAAAAATCACTAGTGTTATTTTGTTTAAAAAATTTAGCTGCAGAGTTCACTGGAAAATTTCATATTATTGTATATCTATAAAGAATGTAATCAAATTTGAAGAAAGTGTCAAAGCTCAACATCACAAAAACGTTGTCACCTTCATATGACAAAAACTACAAAGTTATGTATATCTTAGTAACATATTTGTATTAGTAAAGGCTTTAACCTGATTTTAATCTATATTTTTGCCACGAATAATTGACACAAATTACATTCTACACGAATAAAAAGGCGTGCAATTAATTTGTTTTATATTTATAGATAATGAATTAAATAAAAAAAAATTTTATAGATAACTTATTTCTTAAAAATTATATATTTTTTATGTAAATAAATTGTGTAAACATAGATTATGTTCTTAACAGTTATAGCTTACCTAGCCAAAGCCATTCTAACATGGGAAAGTCCTCCAAGGGGCAACGATATGGTATCCACTTTGAATATATATCTTTAAGTCCAGAAGTGTTAAAATTTTGAAAATTATTTAATGAAGTTGTTTTATTTTACGAGTAGTTTTGCGAAAGTTTTTTGTACAAAAAAAAACTTAAAACCAGCTTTTTATTTCAAATATTTAAAACATCATGGTGTATTTTATAATACTTGTAATATTAAAATTTTGTGTTTTAATAAATAAAATTCTTCACTTTTACACGTTTTACACGTTTTACACTAATATCGATAAACAGATTTTAACAAATTGTTTGCATTTTTGAATATTATTTTTTATATTATTATAAATTTTCTATATATTTAATACTGTTAAGTTAAAAACATCATCATTTATACGAATTAATTAAAATTATTTGTTAAAGTAACATCATTTAATAGCTATAGTTAATTTTTTTGTATTACATTTAATAATTACATTTTATAATTATATACACTAAAAAAAATGATATAGCAACTTTAATTTTTATATATTGCTAAAATACACATTTAAGAAAATATATATAATATATAATTTCATTACATTAAAAATTTTTAATATTTTATGTTTTGGATTCTATATTTTCAATTGCGTCCTTATGTGTATTATAAATTGAATTTGTGTGCTTTTAAATTTATTTATAAGAATGATTTATTAGTTATTATATTATTTGAAAACATTTTAATTAAAAACGGCCTTAATTTGATTTTATATCTTGCAATGATACACATTAAATCAAGTGTTTATTAACTGCACAAAAAAAAGTGCTCATTTGGGTAAAAATCGACATAATTTATGTATAAAAATTTTTAAAATTGAAAAGAAATATAAAACCAAGAGAACCAATTAATTATATAAACATAAGCTAATGAGAGTACAACTGATGCCTTAAGGAACTTACATTTCTTGTCTAAGTTATGTTGAATATAATGGTGAAATGGGATTCCGAACTCTTTTAAAGTTATAATTTAGAACTAATTTTTTACTGAACTATTTTTAAAAGTTGATGCTCCGTAATATACACAACAATAGAATTAAATGCATTAAGATGAAAACAGTCTATATCGTTCATATTAATACCCAATTCTAAATTTATATAAATTTTATAATTTAATACCTAATTGCTCCCGTATTACAAACATTTTCGTGAGACTCTTAAAAAACATTTGTAATGGTTCACAGTCTAAGATTATTATGTTTAGAACAAAAATAGAATTGAGATTTGCAGAATCTTGATTACAGACACAGGCGATCTTTTATATGTTCTCCGTCTTTCTCTCTATAGAAAATTATTATCCCAAACTATAAAAAAATAGATAAAGTCCTTCTTTATAGAACATATGACAATTTGAATGGTTCTAGTACTGGTGTCATGTTTTTGATATCCCAACCACAGTAGTCTACGTTCACCAAAATTATTAACATTTATTGGTTTATTTAAAAATAATCAATCTTCCATAACAGTCTAACAGGATTGCTTGGAAAATTTACACAAACATTAAATAGCATTATATATGTATATACGAAAAATCGATATGCTAATAAAGTATCTGTATTTAATTTACAAACTTTTATTTGAAGCAATGAAATCAACAATAAATATGATAAATGAAAAAAATTTATTATGTTCTTAAATAGTTATATTTTTATATGAATATATTTAACTTAGCATTTTAAAAGATAAGATCGAGTATCTTAACATATAAGGCGAATTTAATACCTAAAGTTCAATCAAAACTAAAAAGTTTATTTTGCATACTTCTAATTCCACATGTCATAAACTAAATATTGTCTAATTAATCATTTTACAAATTTTTCTAACTAAAGATACAATTTAATTCACTTGCATCATAGAGCATTTAATCAAAGAAGAAAGTTAATATGTAGTAGTAAATGTTGACTTTTCTCTCCAACTACTAAAATAGGAAAAAGTCTGAGCATTAAAGCAAACTAATTTCGAAACAACTAATACTAGTAAATATTAAAACAAGAGAAACCTTTGCTGCTAACATACTCGTAGTATCTTTGTACTTAAAATCGGTTCTGGCAAACAATTTCATAATAGTGACGTGACAACTTGGAAAGAAAATGTTCAATGTCAATGCATTATTTATTTATGATGATATTTCTCTAAGCTATTGCAAATACATAGAAATATATAAATACATACCCAGAAAGTGTAGTCAGCAGCAAACAATATTATCAAGCTTTTTAAAACATTTTTGTTATTTGCAAATAAAAAAAGACAGTGATTATTTGAGAAAATAACACATCAACTATACTACTATATCTTATATACTAATATAAAAAAATAACAGAACACACCACATGACTAATACAAAAATCAAACTAAATTCCATTCCGCTAGTACACACATGCAAGGTTCTTCCTATTAATTTTGTAAAAAAAAATTCATAATGTTAAAAAAATTTCAAAAAAAAAAAAAAAAAAATACTAACAACTATTTGAATTCATTATAATATAAGTTACGATTATATCTATGGGATACAACTTTTATGTAGTAAGTATCTTGTGTGCGCCGGTGTTTAGTAGCGCTCTTATGGTCACATCAATAAACATCAAACATTTAAACTTTGCTTTCGAACGGCAAAACTAAAGCTTTTTGCTGCGAATGTAGCAACCATTTTCGAATAAAATTTATTTTTTAATTTGTATTTTATAAAAAATCACATTTTTTTGTAAAACTTAAATTTCTGTAATAACAATAATTATTTATAATAATAATAATCTAAAATTAGTATCATATATATAAAATTTCTAAACCAGAGTGCTGATTCTTATATAAAATACATATTTGGACAATTTATAGACCTCTTCTTTTTGTGCCCTTTGCTTACATATATTAACCACAATATATATATCTACATGTATTTATTGTATATGGTACTGGAATGTTATGGTTAGGCGACGTTAAGGATAGCGTTGTTTCTCAACTTATCATTGATGTGGATGCTTGTACCAATAATAATTGTGTATTTTTTATTAATTCAAATAAGATATTGAACTTTATAAGAATAAATAGTATATTTTAAAATTTTTTGCTAAGTTTAACACAATACAACAAAAGATATTAAAAAAAATGAAATACTAAACTTATTAGATAAAACCATACTACTATGAACTCGGAAATTTCTATGATATGGAAATTATGCCTGATATTAATTTATTAATATATATCTATGGGTTAAATGTCACAAATATTGTATTTACTTATTTAAATCATTTTCAGCACAACCTGTACAAATAAGAATATTTCTAAAATAACCTCCTCCTCCCTCTAATATGACAACCCGGAAATAAACTTTATCATTTTAACAGCAACATTTATATTTTTGAATTTAAACCATTTTATATGCAAAAATAAAACGTCTATATGGCAATACTGTTTTAGCAGAGACTCGAAAAGCAAAAGTGAGCACATGACAATAAAATTAGCTTTATTTGCTTACGAACTAAATTATTTGTAACAAGTTTATATATGTAGTCTAAGTTTATGCTCATTTATAAACAATAAATTGAGAAAGCACATGTTTTGTGATATTTTCAATAACGTACATCAACTAATTTGTATATTTTTTTAATCTATTATATGTGGCCTTTTAATGTTCATAAAAATAATAATAATGCAATGTGTACATTAAAATACAACAACAAACAGTGTTATTCTAGGCTCCATATCATATTCTTCTGAGACATTTATAAACTACTTTAACTTAAACTATTTTTGGTGCATGTATTTTTATTTAAAAATTAATCATTGACATAATCATAACAGAATTTCAAGTATATAAAAAAAAATATTTTAAAGAAGGTACCGGTTTAAGTTTTTATAAACTATATTACAGTTGCAACCTTCGCTTTTGAAATCAAAGTTCGACACTTTACTGTAATCTATGTACCGTCATTTGTACTAAAAGATTATAATATTGTTGGTTTTATATTTATAAATGTATGCATGTATGTTATATATATTTACATTTGCACTTCTGCAATAATTTAGAAATGTTTAGAATTGCATTAAATAAATTTAAACGGCAAATTATTTGGACGTTTTTCTAACACATAATGTACGTAATAATACATGTTTTCGTTTGGTCAAAAGTTTTTCAAGTAATTTGCAAACATCATCTTTTTATAATGGCAACACTGCAGAATAATATAAACTTGAGAGCACTACCACAACTTTTGCTCATTTTTCTTGAAGCTTATGTGCCTCTTTTTATTGTAGCACCAAACTCGCTCACACACATATCTTGGGTGACAATGACTATATTAAAAAGTACATTCGCATTAGTAATAAAGGCAACAAGAAAAAAAAGATTTTAATATTAAAAAATAAATACAATATATACTCTCTTTTCACTTATTTGGAGCCACCATCTTGTTGTATATATGAATGTATGGTATATGTACTTGACTTCATCATGTATGATGACCTCAAACAAAATTTTTGGTACTAAATATAAAGAAAAAATACATTTGTTGGATATACTATAATAAAATTTTGTCAGGAACTAAGCTATGCATTGTTTTATCAAACAGAATTTCTTGCGAAAAAATATCATTTATTGAGCACACAAATTGCAAATATATTTCAAGAATTATTTGTTAAATTTTCAATTCGTATTAGCACGTTTCACGTATATACATAAGTATATACTTTTTTATTATTAAGGTCACATTACACATTTGTTAAGAATTTCACGGTTAAACGTGCCATTCCAAAAACTTAATTTTAAAATTAAATAATGAATCTTTTACATTTAGTTAATTATAAAATAGGTAAAATCACTTTTTGCCCGTCTTCAATTCAAAAAAAAATTATACTATTGACATCGAAAGTCGACTAAATGTTCTTTAACGTCGCTGTTGTACTCTCAACGCGCAGCAGCTGACTGAAGAGCTTTTTTTTGATTTTTCCATGCGTATCAGTACTGATAAATAGTAACGAAGCTTTTTATAACGTATGTATGTATTAAGTTCTCTCACGGTGGTGAAAATTTAATAACAATTTCTTATAAAACGTATTCTGCCTTATTAAATTTATGTTTATGTTTACGTTTATTTATAACCCGAAATTTAAATGACTTAAATATAATTTAGAATTCACATAAAACAAACTGATTTCAAAAGAAATTAAAATGATTTAGAAAATAACAAACTTTTTAATAAAAAGGTACATTAAAGAGACCATCTACGAATTATACAGAAATATAGAAATATATAATAGTCAAATCGTATGAATTATAGTATATTAATTAAATAATAAAATATAAATATTCCAATTAAATATTTTTATTTAAGAATGTTTAATAGAAATATATATACATATTTATATAATATATATTGATTGTTCTATATGCAAGAAATATTTTAAAATTGCTAAGGAGTTCATCGGAGTGTTTTTCAATAAGTACAAAAAATAAGCTCTTTACAATATAAAAGTAGTAATATATAATATTTATCACATATCACCTGCGAATTATATTACTCGTTTATTAATAAAAATATGATTTAAAAAAAAATATATATTTCGTATATCAATATGTACAGTACAAAATTATTAAAAAACAATGTAACCTACATTCAACGATGTGTTATGTTGTATTATGAATAATGTATTATGAATATCATAAATATATTTCTGTTTTTGGTATTATTAGTACATCAGACAAAATTAAAGATCTTACGAGTTTTTGTCAATATACTACGAAGTTAATTTGTCTTAACCATTGTCCTAGCGTCAAAGATCAAAGTTTATGATTTGCAAATTGTATGATACTACATAAATGACCAGTGTAAATTCTAGTGAAATACAAACTGGCCTAAGTTCCTTAGATATCTATGGCTTATACACTACAGTTCATCTCTTGCTTAAAACTACAAATACATTTTGATGTTTTATTTTCAGCGAAAAAAAGTGTGATTCAATTTACCACTTCCTTTGCTAAACGCAGTAGAAAATGGAAAATGTTTCAATTTTTAATAGATCGAAATGGTGCACATGAGTTTAATAATCCAGGCAAATCAAATGAAAAAATGAATGATGTCTATGGACCAATAAATGTTTATTATCAAGGAAAATTTGGAAATTTAGTGCAAATATACTTTATAAAAGAGAGAGAGATAATTTGCTTTGCAAGTTAAAAGAACTACAAATCGTATTTTATTGGCCTCCACCAACTTTAAATAAAACCTTATAAATACAAATGCATGAAGGTTTGTATTAAATCGTTTTAGGTCTTTTGTTACCTCATGGATTTATGATATTTGTAAACTGACCGAAAAGGAACAATCTATATTTCTCGTACACAGAATAAGAAACTTAAATTAAAATATTTTGCGATACAAAATTTTTTGCTTATATCAATTTCTCTATAGGTAAAATAATAATGATACTTAATACAGTATATACATTAAGAAATTTATGTATATAACTCTATGAGATTTTTATATAATTACTTATAATCGAACTTAAAACAAATCAAAGGAAAAATATACCTATGAGTTTATCTAAAAAAACAAATATGTTAATCAGTTTTTTAAATCTGACTTGGGACAATAATTCAGATAATATAAACACTAATTAATAATACACATTAAATATCTTCAAAAATGCGTTATGCGTAAAGATTGTTTACAATATTTTGGCATAAGAGGAAATAAGAATATTATTACAACCTTTAAGCAATTATTTAACTTAAAAAGTAAAAGTTATTTTAACATACATTACCTGCTTATTGCTGAAGATAAATTTGCGAATTTTTTCTTGGAGAAAACACACACAGCACTTTATGACGATGTCATAAGCCTTAGAAAGAACGAAGACACTATATTATTTGAATTCTTTGTTGAAATTTTAATATAAAGAGTTATGCTCTTTACACCTATGTATTATCAAAATATGTATGATTTGTTGTCTTTAACAATTTGCAACTTCTCAGACTAATTATATTTACATAAAACTTTTCTAATAAACTGATGAAATTAGGGTCACTTATATTTTTTCAAATAAACTTTGCTGAAATAAAAGTTATTGACTTTTCGTTTATTAATAAAATTTTTATGAACGTTATAAAGAACTTATTTCACGCAAAATCCAAACCTAATTTGACAGCAAAAGTTATCTACGGCAGACTTTCAATAAAAGTGTTGCAGTGCAGCTAATAACATACATACATAGATGCATTTTAGTTTTGTTAACGTAAAATTAAAAAAACTACTATTTGTTCCGTCTAGCTCATCTATATAAAACATACAAATATTAATTACATGCGAAAGTTAAAGAAACTAACTACTTAAAAAAATAACTACTATATAATTTTGTTTTAAATTTTTTTTTGCATAATGTTATACTCATCTTGGAATTCAATAGTTTCAGCTAATTACGTACGAAGTGTATTGCTGAAGCACCATATATATATTATTTTGCCAACATATTTTAATGAGTGTATATTATAAAATATTTGATTATGTGATCAAAAAAAAGAATTTTATAATAATATAACATTTGGAATCTGCAGTTGTATATAAAAAACATACAGTTAATCAAAAATAATATCAAAATTACTAGATATTTATTTAATAACTATATTCTGTCACTCCAAAGTGAGATAAAAAGAAAACTTGGCTAAGTTTTTAATATGTACATTTAATAACAACACTACCCTTTCATAATAGACTAGTTATAAAGTCTATAACTATATTAGTAACTGCATTAATTCTTGATTCTTCTTCTTCTTGAGTTAGTGCTATTACGCACTTTTACTCTATAATGGCTGGGGGGCTTATCTCTATCTCTTAATATTATCGAGCTTAGGTCATTTATTTAACATATAAAAAATATTTTTTTAAATAAAAATTACATATAATAATTTGTGTTAAATATTTAAGAAAAAACAATAATATTTATTATTGTACACTGAAGATGGTTTGTAATGCAAATAATTTTTTATAAATATAATAAAATATTTAACACAAATTAATAAGTGTAATTATTAAAACATTAAAAAAACATTTTTTATAATTTTATGTGTTAAATTAACAACCTAAGTAAATTTTTCATAATAACCATTGATTGTAATTAGTTTGTTAACACTATATTTACTTTATTTATTAGTTAAAACAAAAACTAACACAAAATATTTAACAATGTTTGTTTAATAAACGCTATAAAACTATTTAATATTTAAAAAATCTGCTTCACAACTACTATGCCTTGGTCGCTGAAACTCAAATCATTTTCTTTTAACGTGGCAGGCATCTTCCACCTGAAAGGAAAAATCAAATTACAGCAGTGAAGCCAATAAATCAGCGAGAGATATTAGTAAGTTAACTGGCCTCTACAATAGATTTATTTTGGTTACATTTTTATAATCAAAAGTGAATATCTATTGTATTCGAATTTTGTTTATGAACAAAAAATTGTATGTGTTGTGAAAAAGTGTGAATGTTTGTAAAAGACTTGCCAAAATCGAACCAATGTAGACGCAGTATATCACTGTTAAGTAGCTATACTCCATATCACTAAAAATACTACACACCTGTTCTTAGTACCAGTGTTGCATTGAGAACTGTTAAAAATATTATAACTATTTACTTATTACATCCCTGTCAATTATAATTTTTTCTTCTTACAAATCAATTATCGAAAAAAAGTGATGTGGATAAAAATTTTGGTTTAGTTAATTAATGTAATTATTTGGAAAATTTTAGTGCTAGTAATAGTATGTGCACGTAAAAATTTATCATTATATATATAAATTCAAAATTCTATTGTAATTAAAATTTGATTTTTGTATAACCATAATAGCACAACAAATAAAATAGTTTTGGTATTATTAATATTTAATATACCAATAACTATTTAAATATATCTTGGCATTCAACTCGCTAAAGTTATATAAATCTTTAAAATGGACGGAAATAAAGATGAAGCGAATCGTTGCATCGAAATTGGTGTTCAAGCTCTATCAGAAGGAAAATTCCAAAAAGCAGAAAAATTTCTAATAAAAGCTGAACAATTATTTCCAACACAACGAGCTAAAGGTAACAATTTCTATTATGTTAGTTTTTGAAATGTGTTGCTCAAGCAAATAAATTATACAGATGTTTTAATGCAAGTACGGAACTTAGCTAAGTCCGGCAATAGTAAAGAAAAACAAGAACCAGAGCAACAGCCTGAAAGTACGCGTAAACGTAAAAACTCTGATTCTCGTCATGCTGAACCTGATTACACTACAGAACAACTTGAAGCTGTTCGCAAAATTAAAAGGTAATAATTTTTTTTATGTGGGAAACAACATTAATGTGAGCTACTTATTACAGATGTAAAAACTTTTATGACGTACTTGGTATCACCAAAGAAGCAACTGATTCTGAGATAAAAAAATCTTATAAAAAATTGGCGCTTCAATTACATCCTGATAAAAACAAAGCACCAGGCGCTGCTGATGCTTTTAAAGCAGTTGGTAACGCAGCAGCTATCCTTACAGATGCTGAGAAACGAAAGTCATATGATTTATACGGTATAAATGAGGCGAATGGCCAAAGTTCAGGCGCCGGAATGCGTAATCAATATTATTCTAATGAATATGGTTATGCTCGTGGCTTTCAATCTGACGTTAGTGCTGAAGAACTTTTTAATCTTTTCTTCGGAGGTGGTTTTCCACAACAAAATGTTTTTATGCGTCAACAGCGACGTCGTCAGCAACATCGTGACGACAGAGAAGTGAGTATAAGAATAAAACGTCATTTTATATAATTGTATTAATATTATGCTAGTAAATATATCATATATAATAATTTATGGTGCGATTGCTGTATGCAGTCGATTCAAGAATGGACTCATGCTAAAGGTATCCCATACAAAGCAATCTGTGGCAGTCTTTTTTGTGTCAGTATGAACCTTACAGTTTTGCCAGATACTGAAATAATCTCCAGTCATGTCACTACGTCGTTCTATCGGTTGTCATCGCGTGTAGCATGTTAACCATCTTTATGTCTAATCCTGCAGGATTAGATGTTGTTGTTGTGACCTGCAGAAATCTGTAAAGCAGATAACATGAAAGGAATTACAATACGAATTCATGGGTCAGGATTTGAGTTAATTGTGTTAGAGGGTGTTATTTAGGAGTAAGAGTGGGTTGCAAGATGGGTAGAAAAAATTATCCTTTAATGTCTTACAGATGTACACCGGCATTTAGGTGTGTTAGTTAGAGTGTACAACAAAGTTCTCAAAATGCCTTCACACAAATTTTAATTAATTTAATTTAATTTTTACCGACCCAGTTTAGATATAACATTCCAAAGAAGAGTGCGTTACCTGCGGCTTTCTATACCTTCCTAATTTCCCATCACATACCTTTCAAATTTCATTCACCTTATATATAATTGGTGTTGAGTTTAACATCATCAAAAATCACAACGCGATAATTAATAGTTGAGTTCCTACTTAATCACAATAACCACAAAAGCAAAAACAGCACTTAATATTAATTAATTATCAAACTAGTAGGAAGAAGAAAAAGAGAATATTTATATATTTTTATACTGATATATTCACTCTACTATGTTTACATTTACAGAACCAAGCAGGTGGATCTTCGGCTTTAATTAATTTGCTTCCTATATTGTTATTAATTGGCTTATCAATGATGTCGTCATTCTTTATTTCGGATCCAATTTACAGTCTTACACCATCACAGTAAGTTTTTCGATCACTATTGCCTTAGTATTTTATCTAACATATTTTATATATTTTTAGAAAATATTCTGTTAAGCGAGAAACAAATTCACTTAAAATACCGTATTATGTTAAAGACAACTTTTATTCAGAGTATCAAGGATCTGTGCTGCGATTGGAAGAGTCTGTGGAAGAGGAGTTTATTACTCATTTAAAACATTCGTGTAGTCGCGAAAGAAATTACCGTTAGTAACTAATAAATTTATATTTTTATTATAAATTGTCGGGCTTATGATATATTCTTTTAATTTTAGGAGACTCAATGTTGGCTAAAGCACGTACATTTGGTGACCGTGACTTATTCCGTAAAGCGCAAAACATGAATATGCCTTCATGCGAACATCTTCAAAAATATTTAAATACATAGTTTAATTTACCAATAACTACTTAGTGTTCCATATATCACACATTTTATTTTCACTTAATGAAAGTTTTAGAATATTAAATTGGAATGTCGTTAATAGTAGTTTCAAAATTACTTAACTAAATTTTTGGAACATTAACAATTTTTTGTTTTTATTTTAAGTTGTTGGTTTTGCTAATTTATATGTATAGTATTTAAATATTTTGATGTATAAGTGTAATGGTTATAACTGAAGCTAAGCAATACAAAAAAAAACCAGTTAAATAATTTGCGTCAACATGATATTTCAATGATGCAGTTTCTATTCGATTAGCCTGAACTCCCTGAGTAAAGCTCTGAAATCATTGTTATATAATTTGTCATTAAAAAGTTTTTCATCAAAATAAAACTTTAAAAATAATATAAACTAAATTTTTATTTTAATATATCGTGCCTTCGCACGATATACTGCTATGACAAAATACTATGTGAAGAGGGCATCACAATAGGCAACATATATCTCCGAGTGAAAGTGATAACAGATAAGGACGACCCTCACAACACAACCTACTGCGTAATATGAAATCACAGTTTGTTTTTATAAAATTAAATATTCAAGGTAGCTGTTTTGATTAAATTAAAAAGTTGGGTAAAATATTCTAATCCAGTTTTACACAATCTGCTTCCATTTATAACCGTTTATTCTTCGATCAATTGAATTAAAGCTTTATACTTTCTGGAAATTTTAACTGATGTATGCGGGCGTTTGCGACTTTAGATTACTTAACAGTATATTGCGTAGAGTTACGATCAGACTTATAGAAACACAAGCAAAATTATTTGCATTTTCGACTACGTTTAATAAATATATCCTCTACTTCAAATGTATATATCATTTCACATTTAAAAAGTTTTTTATTGGTAAAAATTTCTAAGGTTTTCTAAACTATAAAGTAGTTAAGTTTCATTAACATATATTTTGTACAATTTATTAGTTTGCTATTATAGCTTCTAGGGCAGCCACAAGATCTCCACTTTGTTCTCGCAAAACCTTCTCTGCTTGAGCTTTAGTGATTAACATTTCATTCATCTAATAGAAATCAACTATTAAAATATATGTTATGTACAGAATATAAAGCAATAATTACGATTATTTCAATGTCTTCCTTTTTAACATGTACTTTCTGCAGCTCCTTTTCTTTAGCTACCTTTAACTCATCTTCTTTACTACGTTGGTTGCCAAATTGTTCTACCGCCTGAATATCGATGTATAAAAAAGTAACAAGTCTTATTTTTATTAAAATTTTTAAATTTTAGTTTTACTAACGCTGGATATATTAGCAGCTGATATTTCTTTTTCCTCGGCATAATCTGTTACACGTTCCAAATCTGCAGCTCCGCCATCGTGACGAGTCTGTTTTTTTTGCTTTTTATCCTGCACTTCATCATCACCACCATTTATTTCGTGTTCAGACATTTTCCAAATTTAGATTATAATTCTCACTGTAGTATTAGATATAAAATGTGCACTAATAAAAATGTTTAATATGTTAATCAGTGTTGTAAGTATAAGAAAAATAAATGTATACAGAGTTGCAATTTTGTAACGCTGAATAAAGCAATAAATATCAATAGGTGCTTTTGGTGGCTCGCAAGTGTGCAAAAAACAACAAATTGCTGACTTATAATTGCTTAAATGTACACAAAACGACTCGATTTTCTCTATCTAAGCAAGTAGTTGTGAAGTATGTTGCTCTACAGTTTAAGTAAAAATAATTATTCTCAAAAATATTATTTGCATACATATGTGGTTAATATTGCATTTAATTCCACACGTAGTTATTTGCTGAATAATTATTAGTTATTCCACAAAGTATCACATCAAATTTATACAACTCTGTGGCAGCACCAAAAAATATAAATAAAAGAACTGTCAACAAGGCACAAAGGAGACAACAATAGCCGCAGTTCCCGCCAGTAGTAGTTTGGAAAAAGACAAAGCAGCACGTGAATAAAACGAAAAAACACAAATTTTAACTTTAAGAATATTTTATAATAACTAAGTATAAGAAATAAATAAACTTATCCATTACCAATACGGAGTGTTAAATTCGAAATAAACCCCAACATAACAAACCACTACATTGGTGACCAAGCCGACGTCGAATATATAAAAAAAAAATGGCTACTCAAGAGCAAAAGATAACCGAAGACACTAACCCAATCAATGAAAACGCAACAATCACTGCAATAAAGCTGCCGATGCCAACATTAATAAAAAACAACATTGACCTTTGGTTTATTCAGTTGGACTACTGGTTCCAAGTCAACAACATAAAGGGCGATACTCAAAAGTTTGGCACAGTTATCGCAGCATTGGATGCATCGCTGTTAGAACAAATTTATAACACAATACAGAATCCACCAGCAACTCAGAAGTACGAAGCTATCAAGCAAGCAATAATAAAAAACTTTGCGGATAGTGAACAAAAACGCGTACAAAAATTAGTTAGTGGTTTACAGCTTGGGGATAAAAAGCCATCCCATCTTTTAAGCGAATTGCAACGTATTAGTGGAAGCAAACAAGACGAACAATTACTGAAAGGGTTATGGTTACAACGTCTTCCTGTAGAAGTACAGACATGTCTAGCCACAATTCAAGTGGAACTACCTAAGATGGCGGAATTGGCAGACAACATAACCGAAACAATCCGTATAAACTCAACAATGCAAGGAACTTACGTCAATGCAGCTAACGTCCCTGCAGCAGCTCATATTCAACGTGATGCACAAATCGAACAACTTCAACGAGAAGTGACCAGACTGACGAAAATGGTCTCGAAATTATCAACCGAACACCGCTCAAGAACAAATCAACGTTCACGTTCAACATCCAGAAACCGGAAATGTCATGATGATAGTGAAGAAAAGACCAGTACAAATTGTTGGTATCATAGAACATATGGGGCAAATGCAAAAAATTGCAAGCAGCCATGCACATATGGCACAAAAAACTAAAACCGACTTCGTCTACGGCGGCAGAGGAAGTTGTAAACGAAACATCTACAAGACTGTTCGTCTATGACAATAAGACAAAAAAATCATTCCTAATAGACACGGGTGCAGATGTTTCACTTATTGCCGCCAAACAAAAAAATTCAAATACAAACAATAAGAACGAAAGAATACTCTACGCAGCAAATGGTTCTATGATCAAAACATTTGGAGAAATAGAGATAACTCTAGCTCTTGGCTTACGAAGAAATTTCACATGGCCATTTATTATCGCAGATGTAAACACTTCAATCATCGGTGCAGATTTTTTAAATCATTTCGGATTAATAGTAGACATAAAAATGAAACGATTGATCGACACATCAACAAAGATTTTCTCAGCCGCAAGTGAACGTAAGGTAAATGCGCAAAAAAATATCAACTGTGAACACATCTTGCAAAATTGCAGATCTACTAAAAGAATACATCGACATCACTAAACCAACACCGACAAATCGCCAGGTGACAAAAGTCACTCACCACATATTAACAAAAGGTCCACCAATATGTGAGAGACCACGTAGGTTACCTCCAGACAAGCTAGCAGCAGCAAAAGAAGAATTCCAAAACTTAGTCACAGCCGGAATATGCCGTCCATCAAGCAGTAATTGGGCTAGCCCCTTACATATGGTAAAAAAACCAGACGGTAGTTGGAGACCTTGCGGAGATTACCGTCGCTTAAATGCAATCACCATCCCAGATCGTTACCCAGTTCCTCACATACATGATTTTGCACACATGTTATATAACCAAAAAGTTTTTTCAACCATCGACCTGATTAAGGCATATCACCAGATACCAGTTGAACCGGGGGATATTCCAAAAATGGCGATCATAACTCCATTTGGATTATTTGAATTTACTAACATGACATTCGGACTTTGCAATGCAGGTCAAACATTTCAACGCTTCATTCACGAAGTATTACGAGATCTCGAATTTGCCTTTGCCTATATTGACGACGTCATTATTGCATCAGCAAACGAGGAAGAGCACAGGCAACACTTGCAACAAGTATTCGAACGATTCAGAAAACATGGTTTAATAATAAACGTATCAAAATGCGTTTTTGCTCAAAACACAGTAAAATTTCTTGGTTATCTCATCAGTGAAAAGGGCATTCAACCTCTACCAGATCGAGTGAAGAGCATCAGCGAGTACCCGCTTCCAACAAAAACAAAAGAATTAAGAAGATTTCTAGCATTACTTAACTTTTATCGCAGGTTCGTACCAAACGCTGTAGATTCTCAAACTGCACTTCAACAAATGATAAAAGGAAACAAGAAGAACGACAACACACCGTTATGCTGGACCGAAGTGAACAAAACAATCTTCCAAAAATGTAAAGATGAACTAACAAACTCGACACTACTTGTTCATCCGTCAAAAACTGCTACGCTTGCATTACAAGTAGACGCCTCGGATAAAGCTCTCGGCGCAGTTCTTCATCAAGTGACAAACAGCACGTTCCAACCACTCGGTTTTTTCTCTAAACGATTAACAGATACACAAAAACGATACAGCACATACGATCGTGAGTTGTTAGCCGCATATCAGGGCATAAAACATTTTCGACATATGTTAGAAGGTCGTGAATTCGTATTAATAACTGACCACAAGCCACTCACGTTCGCATTCCAGCAAAAGTCCGACAAGGCTTCACCACGTCAAGTCCGTCAGCTTGATTATATAGGTCAATTTACAACGAATATCGTTCATGTCAGCGGAAAAGACAACATCCCAGCAGATTTTCTCTCGCGGATAGATAGTATTAGCATCCCAAAAATCGACTACGATTGTATAATTGGATTACAACGATGTTGCCCACAACTACAAGATATCAAAAACAACAATTCCATCGAAATCAAACTTTTATCTTTACCAACAATATCAGATAAAATTTATTGCGAAGTTTCAACTGGGCGAATTCGTCCTTACATTCCGCAGAAATACCGGCTACATATCTTTAAAGCTACGCATGGGTTGTCTCATCCCAGCATTCGGGGCACAACAAAAATGATAGCTGAAAAATTTTTCTGGCCTTCTATAAATGCTGATATCAGAAACTGGACCCGACAATGTATCCCATGCCAACGTTCTAAAGTGCAACGTCACAACCGTTCACCTATTTGTCAATATGAACTCGCTGAACACAGATTCGAACATATAAACATAGATATCGTCGGCCCGCTACCACCATCAAACAACTGC